AAATTTTTAAGTCAACCCGTGGTCAATCCTAAGGACACAAGATCTAGTTCATCCTACGAAGCTCAAGTGAATGCAATCCATTCACTACGGTCAGAAAAACAGGTCGATAATCAAGTTAGAACACCTCTAAGTCAAACTCTTGAACCAGAACAAATTCGTTCTCCTTCTGATAACTCTATTTAGAAATCACCCATTTCCGATGACCAAGAACCTGAACCCGAACCCGAACATAAGCCTAATTTTGATAGGTTTAAACCAGTTGCTTCCTTCCCAAATAGACTCGGGCCTAGGAAAGAGGAGAAGATCCTAGAAACTTTCAAACAAGTTAAGTTCAACATTCCTCTCTTCGATGTAATCGAACAAATCCCTTCTTATACAAAATTTTTAAAAGATTTGTGCACTAAGAAGAGAAGAATAAATGTTTCAAAGAAAGTCTTTTTGGTTGCCAATATCAGTGATATGCTCACAAAGCCCATACCTTTGAAAAATAAAAATCCAGGTTGTCCCATCATTCATGTGTCATTGGTAATACCTACATTGATAAGACGCTTTTAGATTTAGGGGTTAGTGTTAATTTGCTTCCTTATTTAGTCTACCAGCAACTAGGTGTAGGTGAACCTAAACCAACCAGATGCACATTGTAGTTAGATGATAGATCTGTTAAAGTCCTTATGAGTAAGATAGAGGATGTTCTGATTAAGGTTGGGGATTTTATTTTTCCAGTGGATTTTCATGGTCTTGGAAACACAGCCTGTTTCTAATCCTAAAGGACAAATACATGTCATCTTAGGAAGACCGTTCTTAGTCACTTACAATGTTCTCACCAACTGTATAACTGGTTAAATAAAGCTGTCCTTTGGGAATTTGACTGCTGATCTCAATATTTTCAATCCAGAGAACCAACAAAATGATCAACCTCTAGATATAAATTATATTCAAGAAAGACCAATAGAAGGAGAAGAGAATGAGTCAGATCTTGGTTTTGAGGAAATCTTTGGTGATGAGCTAAAGATATAAGAAAAATCAGATCAGGTATTTCAGAACGAGGAAGCTGTATTAAATACATGCTTCTTTAACCCAACTTTTGAAAAACTCTTTGTTGATGAACTTAGATTCTTGGAAAATAAACAATAACCAAATTTTTATACCTCAACTATGAATCTTGGGGTTGAGGAAATTTTTAAAGAAGAATTGGTTGTTAGATGACAAACCTTCATAAATAAAGAATCTCAGTTGAATAAGATACATAACACCAGTGATATCTACCTTCAATTGCTACAAAAATGAAACCTTTGGAGAATGAAAAAGTTAAACACGTCATTGATTATATCATTTTGTATATCTTTAAAATCCAGAGTAGAATTTTTAAGGTAGGATTTAATGTAGAGCATGAGCTTTTCATGTTGAATCTTTCATTCTACATTTTTGTGTTTTATCTCATAATAATAAAAAGAATTTATTCTTCTCTCAGTTGAGAGTTTCTTATTCTTTTATAGCCATATATATATATATATA